CCAGCTTTTGTCATTATTTTCATGGAGTATCATTTGTGACACTTTGAATCCTGAAAAGTGTACTGCCTCAGAAATAATTCTTAGGTGGAGAAACATTGATTTATAAAGTTTAAAAAAAGTTTGCTTAAATTTATGTATGTATGTATTTATATTGTGGTAAAATATACACAACAAAATGTATCAGTTTAACCATTTCTAAGTGTACAATTAAATGGCATCAAGTACACTCACAATTTTGTGCAACCATTACCACTGTCCATTTCCAAAACTTTTTAATTAACGCAAACTGAAACCCTGTACCCATTAAAAAATAATTCCATACCCCCGCTCCTTCCAATCCCCAGTAACCTCCATTCTATTTCCTGTCTCTATGAATTTGTCTATTATATGTACATACCTCATGTAAGTGGAATCATACAATATTTGTCTTTTTGTGTCTGGCTTATTTCACTCAGCATAATGTCTTCAAGGTTCATGCTTGTTACAGCACGTGTTAGAATTTCATTTCTTTTTAAGGTTGAAAAATATGCCATTGTATATGTGTACCACATTTTGTTTATCCATTCATCTGTTGATGGACATTGGATTGTTCTCACCTTCTGGCTATCGGTAATGATGCTGCTATGAACATTAGTGTACAAGTATCTGTTTGAGTCTCTATTTTCAGTTTTTTTGAGTATATAGCTGGAAGTGGAATTGGTGGGTCATATGATAATTCTGTGTGTTTTGGTATTTTTTTTTTTCCAGAACCACCGAATTGTTTTCCACAGCAGCTGTACCATTCTACATTCCCACCAGCAGTGCACAAGACTTCCAATTTCTCAGTATCCTCTCCTACACTTGTTATTTTACATTTTTTGGTAATAACCATCATAATGGGTGTGAAGTAGTATCTTGTGTTTTTGATTTGCACTTTCCTCATCCCACTAATTTTGTTATGTTTTATTTTCATTTAGTTCAATGTAATTTTTAAGTTTCATTTTTCAGACTTTTGTGACTCATGGATTATTTGGAACTGTGTTTTTAGTCTTCAAGTGTTTGGAGGTTTTCCTGTTGTCTTTCTGTTGCTAATTTCTAGTTTGATTACATTATGGTCAGAGAACACACTCTGTATGATTTCAATTTTTTAAAATTTTTTGAGGTTTGTTTTAGGGTTCAGGATATGGTCTGTCCTGGTATTTACTTTTTGGGCCTTTGAGAAAAGTATTTGGTCTGTTGTCGTTGGGTGGATTGTTCTATAAAACAATGTCAATTAGCTCCTATTGGTTGATGGTGCTGTTGAATTTTACCATATCCTTGTTGATTTTTCTGTTCGGTTTTCTTTCAGTTGTTGAGAGAGATGTCTTGAAGTCTCCAGCTATAACTGTAGATATATCTTATTTCTTCTTTCAGTTCTGTCAGTTTTTGCTTCCCATAATTTATAGCTCTGTTATTTAGTACATGCACATTTAAGATTGCTATGGGGCATAGCTGTTATCATCAGGTAATGTCCCTCTTTATTCAGTACTTTTCTTTGCACTGAAGTCGAAGTACTTTATCTTATGTTAATATAGCCACTTCTCCTTTCTTTTGATTAATGTATATATGGTATATCTTTTTCCATCCTTCTGTTTTCAGCCTCCTTATATTGTCTTTTTTGAAGTGAGCTTTTGGTATACCTTACTGGTACGTCATGTTTTTAAATCCATTCTGCCAGTTTCTTATCTTTTTATTGGTGTATGTAGGCCATTTACATTTAATGTTATTATCATTCTGCTAGGGCTTTAATCTGCCATTTTATTTTTTGTTTGTTCTCTCTGCCTTTTGTTTCTCTAGTTTCCTTTTTCTGTCTTCCTGTGGGTTATCTGAACATTTTTTAGAATTCCATTTTGATTTATCTGTAATGTTGTTGAGTGCATATCTTTGTATAGTCTTTTTAGTGGTTGCTTAAGTATTGTATATACATAACTAATCACACTACTGGTGTTGACATTTTACCAGTTTGAGTGAAGTGTGGAAATCTTATGTACCTTTATGTCTCTTCACCCTATAGGTATTAAATTATGTAGACCTCACCTGACATTGCCTCAGCAGTAAGGGGAAGGAGTTCTTGTTACTGCTGTATAGGAATAGGTGTCGAGATTCCCTGTGTGGACTCCACTGACACTGTGGGAGTGGAGGATTCATTACCTTCCAGTAGATATGAAAATCTCAGCTCCCCACTCTGACTTCTCTGACATCATGCTGAATGGGTAGTGTTGGGATGGCTTGTTACAGCTTGGTGAGGGTGAAGTCTAGCTCCCCATTTGGCCTTTGCTGGTGTGGATATGGGTGGGACTACAGTTTTTCATGTGATGTTTGGCTGGAGTAGAGTGGTTATTCTCTAACCTTTTCTATTTTGCTAGGCTGCTGCTCTCTTGGTCCTTTGGCTGGGGAGAACAGGCTTTGGTTGTGTTTTTTGTTTTCCTGTGCTCCTTGGTGTTTCTGGGTTGTGGACCTCTCTAGCATCAGGTCTGGAGTATATAAGGTAAAAAGAAATTTTAGGTAACTCACTATTGTGCTATTCCTTGGGTCCCGAGGTCCCTGTTGGTCTGCTTTTTTCTATCCACCTTTTAGAGCCATCTTATGTTTATTTTATATATAATCTTCAGGGTTTGTAGTTGTAACTAGTGGGAAGAATAGAGAAAAGTATGTCTACTCCATCTTCCTGGACGTGGAAGTACCTACTTGTGACTTTGATGTTGAGCACTTTTTCATGTGCTAAATGGCCATTTTTTTAAAAAAATAAATTTTATTTTATGGACTCTGTTGGATTTTTTATTTAAAAAATTTTATTTATTTATTTAGGTTGTGCCAGGTCTTAGTTGCGGCACGTGTGCTCGTTAGTTGGGCTCGAGGGCTCCTTAGTTGTGGCATGCAAACTCCTAGTTACAGCATGCATGTAGGATCCAGTTCCCTGACCAGGGATCCATCCTGTGTCCCCTGCGTTGGGAGATGGATTCTTAACCACTGTGCCACCAGGGAAGTCCCTAACTGGCCATTTTTATATCTTCCTTTCGGAATGTCTTACCAACTGCCCCCCCACCCCCCGCGCCATTTATTTGAGGGGGTGGTTTGTTTTTATGAGATGTGGGACTTTTTTATATATTCTAGATGCCAGTCACTTATTAAATGTATTTTGTAAATATTTTCTCCTATGTGGCTTGCCTGTTCATTTTCTTAACCATCTTTTGATGTATCAATTTTTCTTTTACGATTATCCCTTTCTCTGTCATGTCTGAGAAACCCTTGCCTACTCCAAATTTTGAAGATATTCTCCTATATTTCCTTCTAGCAGCTTTATAGTTTTAGCATTTATGTTTATATCTATGGTCCATCTCAGTTTAGTTTTTGTATATGTCGTGATGTAAGGATTGAAGTTCATTTTCCCCCCCATATAGATATCCAATTTTTCCAGCAACAGTAATTGAAAAAGATTTCCCTTTCCCTGATGAGTTGCTTCTATGCTTCTATTAAGCATGTCATGATAGTGTATTATGTACTTGGTAGAATAGGTAAGATAGAATGCTTATGAGAGAAAACCATGAATCTAGATCTTAAAGACCCAGTTTGAAATTTTGCTCTTCATTTTGTGGCTATTTTATTTTCAGAAGTTAACTTCTTTGAGCACAATTGCCTTTATTTGTAGAATTGAAATAGTAATTATCTCTAACTTATATGATTTGGGGGAGGTTTAAATGAGAAAACATATAATGATAATGATAATAATAGGTACTATCTTTTGAGTGTTTATGATGTGATAGTCATTCATTATTTTACTTAGTATCTTTAAAATGTTGTTGCTCTACCTAGTTGTTCAGTCCAAAGAAGTATAGGTTAAAGCACCTTCTTTGTAGTAATGCAAACTTGCACAGTAGGCAGGTGTCAGTGTTTTTACCCAGTTGAACATCTTGAAAAATAACATATTCTTATTTTCATTGGTCCACAACTGCACATTTGTTGTATAATCATTTATAGTTTTGCCTGAATAATTTTCTTTCTTGAATTAGATAAGAAATAGAGCATCTTATCAAAAACTATAATTTCAGCTTGGCTAAGGAATGCCACAAATATCCTATTATTGCTAATAATACTTTTAATAGGGTCTGTGTATTAGTCTCCTTGGGTGCTGTAACAAATTACCACAAACTGGGTGGCTTAAAACCACAGAAATGTATTCTTTCACAGTGCTGGAGTCCAGAAGTCTGGAATCAGTATCAACGGGCAGAAATCAAGGTTTTGGCAAGGTTGCACTTTCTTCAGAGGCTCCCTTCAGTATCACTTTCTTGCCTCTTCCAGATTCTGGTGGCTGCTTGTGGCACATCACTTCTACCTTTAAGGCCAGAATCTTCAAATCTCTCTTTTCTGTGTCTTCATATGGCTTTCCTCTTGGTGTGGCCCAAATCTCTGTTTATCTTCATATAAGGATATATATGATTGCGTTTAGGACCCACTCAGATAATCCAGGATAATGTCCCTCTTTTAAGATCCTTAATGATATCTTCAAACACTCTTATTTTATATTTTATTTATTTATTTTCACATATAAGGTCCATGGATTGGGATTTGGCAATCTTTTGGAGGGCCATTTTTCCCCCCACTGCAGTATGGTTGTACGTTTTTACGAGGATAACAGTAACAACAGGTAAAGTAAAAGCACCACTAAGAAACTTAGCAATGAAAATTCCAAATTATAAAAAAGAATCCCTCCAGTGAGTATTTTGTCACTGTATAGTATTATAAAACTGTTATCTTACTGTTTTTATGTGGGAGTTATGGGCAAAATTGAAGCAAGAAGATCAGAGAGTATGACCCAACACTGTGGTTTCTTTAGTTCATCTGGCTGAATATCTGTTGACATTTTAGAAATAGCAAGGGAAAAATTACGTTTTTTTAAAATAATAAATCTATTTAAGTTTTAAAATTCTTGTGTCCACCTCTTCCTTTATACCCACCTCTCACATCCATCCCTGTTTATAAAGGTGCCCCTTACTGAAGCAGTGGATCCAGTGGATTTGGAAGATTACCTCATTACTCATCCTTTAGCTGTGGATTCTGGGCTTTTAAGGGATTTGATTGAATTCCCTCCAGATGATATTGAAGTGGTTTATAGTCCTAGGGACTGTAGAACCCTTGTTTCAGCTGTACCTGAAGAAAGGTAAGGAGACATTTACCTATTTCTGGTTTTAGTGTAACTATAAAAAGGCTACCTTCCATTATTTTATTTAGATTCTATTTCTCGTGGTAGTGTTGTTTCCTATTATATGAACAAGAGCGCAGCAGCAGAATTCACAAACATCAATGCTTTCCTGTCTAAATTATAAATATATTTTCTTTTTTAAAACAGTGAAATGGATCCACATGTTAGAGATTGTATAAGAAGTTATACAGAAGACTGGGCAATTGTGATCAGAAAGTAAGTTATATATTCATTATGACATTTAAAAATACTGAGTAGGATCTGTAAATGGATTAAGGTAGATTAATACTAATTATGAGACCTGAAAATTCATTTAAAAAATAGCTGAAAAAGTAAAAGAAGAACCTTTGCATATAGATATTTTTTCCTTAGGAGTTCCACAATTATTTTCTCTTACTTTCCTTATAAAATAATACATTTGTGGGGATAGTATTTCTATATTATCATAGATCATTAGTAACTAATAATAATATAAAATAATGATTTGTAGTCTAATTCTTTTGGGAAATCGTGGGTAAATATTGATGAATAATTTGTATTTCTAAAAAAGAATCCAATTTATTGAATTGGTTAAGTTTAATAGCTAGTTTTCTAGATCAAGCTGTTTGAAAGGTCTCTGCCTTTTATTAACTAACTGAATATTTACAGGTCCTTGACCTGTACATCCAATCAAGTTAGTAGTTGTAAAAATGTTTTGTTTTACCACAAAATTTATGTTTCTAATGGATGGTGTTTGAAATATCAAGTCAGATTAAGAAATAAAATAAAATTATTCTTCCTTTGCTAATTTGCATAATGAAGAAGGGTCTTCATACTGAATCTTCTTAGCCTTATTTTATTTTTCTAAAGGAAGTATAATTACTGAAGTAGTGGAAAATGCTGTTATGACATTGCAGTTTTGAGAAATGAAGTTATCTGTGCTAAATTGTACTAGTAACAGTGATGTATCCATTGCTTATTTTGTTGCTGTTGTGGGCAACTGTCTTATTTCACTGTGTTTCACTCTTGGGGTTGCTGCTGACATGCTTTTTAGTTTTAGTGTGACCTAATAAAAATACAATCTGCTACCCTTTATAAAGAAGAGCTGTTTTTATGAACTTAACAATTTTGATAAGTATTTCAATAGCCAGATTTTAGAGATTACTGAAGAAGACTGTTCCTCTGTCAGATAACTCAAAAGTCTTTACCTTTATGCATGTATGTTGGAAACCTGTAATCAGAAATCTTAATAGAAATAGATTAGTTGTAAAATATATTAACCTTAGAATCATGGAGTCGTCTTGCTACTTAATTCTAATCAAGGGATTGCTGACCTTGATTTAAGCCAAGAGGGTACAGTAGTTAACATTTATGGTTATTTGCTATATGCTGGGCATTTTATTGGATACTTTACGCTCATCTCATTTAAGGTTCCAACAGACAAGGTAGCTCAGGCTCAGAGTACTTAAGTAACTTCTTTGAGGTCCCATGGCCAAAAAGTGGGATAGCTAGGATTAGAACCTAGGGGCATCAGATTCTAATGCTTGCAGTTTTTTCTGTTATACTAGATATTATTTATTACCTTCAGTAGTAAATGGAAGACTAAGGGGTACTTTCGGTAGACTAGAAGTTTTAAAGTATCCCTGAAATATAAAAGGTATGACTGGAACACAACAGAAAACCACAGCACAGAATAATATAAGATACATGCAAAAGGTTCAGTAGAGCTTTAGGCTCAGTGAATACAGGCAGTGGAAGAGGGACCTAGGGTAAATGTTGGACATTTGGTTACTTTGAAACCTCTTATACCCTTCTTTATGCATAGAAGTGGGAGCAGAGGTATCTGCCTATTTATTTATTGATTGATTGATTGATTGGCTGGCTGCGTTGGATCTTCGTTGCTGCGCCTGGGCTTTCTCCAGTGGCGGCGAGCAGGGGCTACTCTTCATTGTGGTGTGCGGGCTTCTCATTGCGGTGGCTTCTCTTGTTGTGGAGCACAGGCTCTAGGCATGTGGGCTTCAGTAGTTGTAGCACACGGGCTCAGTAGTTGTGGGTCGTGGGCTCTAGAGAGCAGGCTCAGTAGTTGTGGTGCACGGGCTTAGTTGCTCCGCGGCATGTGGGATCTTCCCGGACCAGGGCTCGAACTCATGTCCCCTGCATTGGCAGGCGGATTCTTAACCACTGTGCCACCGGGGAAGTCCGGTATCTGCCTATTTTAAGAGCACTAATTATAGGGGCTTGAGCTCATACAATAGTGCCTGGGGTGGGCATACCTTGGAATAAGAAGGAGCCCTCATACCCAGAAGACTGGCAGACTCTGCCTGGAAGCATGAGGTGCCTCTTCTCCACAGCCACTGGATATGTGCTTGGCTAAGCAGATACAGTATTTTCAGACAGATATGGGCTTACAAATTAAAAAATGAGCATTAGAACCTAGAATTGCCAACCATTTGATTAAAAGCAGTGCACTTGAAAGAGAATTATCAAACTACAAATAAAAGAACTTATAATTTAGGAAATAGTTAATAGAACACACATCAAGACCCATACATGTAACTAATATCCTCAAAGAGATGTGAAAAAGTTATGGTAACCATATAAAAAATCAACTGGTTATCTTTGGAAGTGAAAATTTTGTTCAGTGAAAAAAATGTTTAAAACTCAGCAGATGGGTTTAATGGCAGAGCGGATGTGACTGAAAAGTAGAATAGTAAGTTATAAGATGAAACCAAAAAATTCTTCCATAATTCAGCACAGAAGGGTAAAAGAATAGAAAGTACTTTATTCATTCAAGACATACTTACTGAGAGGCTAGCATGTGCCAGGCACTATACTAAGCAGTGATGATACAGCAGTCAACAAAACTAACTCCGTGCCCTCATGGAGCTTATATTCTATTTGGGGTTGAGGGCAATAGACATTAAACAAACACAGATAAATATATAATAGTTGGGAAGAATAGAGGGAAGTCTTGTAGAGAAAAAAAGTAGGATGGGGGGGATAGGGAGAGCCAAGAAGAGGTGATTCCACTTTGTGAATAACTAATCGGAAGAGGCCTTTCTGATAAGATGAATTTGAGCGAAGACATGAAGGAAGTTAAGGAGTAAGCCCTCTGGATATCTGGGGGAAGAGTGTATTAGGCAGAGGCAAGAGCAGTACACGCAAAGGCTCCATATTGGAACCATGCTGGGAATGTTCAAGGAATAGCAGAGAGGTCAGTGTGGCTGGAACAGAATAAGTGAGGGAGAGAATGCCAAGATACAGAGTCGTAGAAATGGTGGTGTTGGATGGGTAATCATGTAGAGCCTTATCATAGCAACTGACTACAGGAACAGAATGATAATATAGAAAAGAGTATTGATCATGAATCATGTCATTCTTCTCAGCTCTATTGAATTTCATACTATCAGTTTTTTAGGACATAAAGGAGGAAGAATGCAACAGTATTCTGGTTTATTAGAGTAGCTTAGATATCTAGTTTCTCAATTAAGGCACTTTTTTTCCACATTATCTCATTTTTATTAAAAAATACAAAAACTATAAGTATGTATATACTTATGCAGATGTATATACTTATGATTATACATACGCCCAGGAAAAGATCCAGTTAGTTAAATACTAGGAGTTCAACACTGATACTCTGAGTAGTAGAAATATAATGATTGTATTTTTACAAGTCTGTATTTTTAAATTTTCAACAATGAGCATGGATTGATTCTGTAATAATAAAATGTTATTTTAAAAAAAACCCTTTTTCATATAGAAAAGCAACAATGTATTCTGTCCTTTAAGGAAAATACAAATGTTTCCCTTGAGGAAAAAAGGTGCAAAGACTAGAAAACAGTTTAGTATTTTTCAAAAATATCTGGTAATGGTTTTTTGCTGCAAAGTTTTGTCTATTTGCCTTTAGTCAACATTGTGTAAAGAGTTAAACAGACCTGTGTTTGAATTCAAACTTTGTCACTTTACAGGCATTTTTACACAAATTAAGGCACTTTAAACATTTCATGAAAGATTAAAATATCTGCTTCTGAGTAATATCTTTCATGTTACTATACTGCATATTTTTATTTTAGTTATTCCAGAGAAAAATGCTTTCTTTTATTTTGTGATTATACTATGATGTGAGCATCATGTAGCTGCTATTTCAGTACCTTTTGCAGCAAGACATGTGAATAATTCATATTAAGTGTGATTCTTTACTATGTCATAAATTGACTGATAGAACCATATCATCCTCTGGTAATTATAATTGTTTATGCTGCAGTTAAAATTTCCCCCAGTTTGACTATATGAGGTGTGACACAGTAGTTGCTCTTTGATCATAGTGTCTCTAATATTCTTGGACATTGGGTTGTTAGAAAAGAAGTATACATTAGTTTAAGAGTTGTTCTTAGCCTAATATATATATTATACAACAATATATGTTAATTAAGAATATATGTATACAGTGGTGTAGATCTTGCTATTCTTTCATTTTACAGGCTCTTTTTTTTTTTTTTGGCTGCGTTCCGTCTTCGTTGCTGCGTGCGGGCTTTCTCTAGTTGTGACGAGTGGGGTCTACTCTTTGTTGTGGTGCGTGGGCTTCTCATTGCTGTGGCTTCTCTCGTTGCGGAGCACTGGCTCTAGGCGCATGGTCTTAGTTGCTCCGCGGCGTGTGGGATCTTCCTGGACCAGGGATTGAACCCATGTCCCCTGCATTGGTGGGTGGATTCCTAACCACTGCGCCACCAGGGAAGTCCCTAGTTTTTCATTTTAGAAGCCTGAAGCTTTAGGTTGTTTAAGATTTTTTATACATAATGAGATATAGCAAAATTTTTTTGGCTATTTGGAACTTTAAGCTTCAGTGCTTTATATATTTTTGCCTTTTAAAAATTTACATTGTTATGAATGCAGGATATATTTTCTGCTCTCTCATTTTATTCTTTAACCTGGCTTCCCATCCTTTCCTTTTACTGACCAATTCTCTGAATTGAAAGTACAGCTTAAATTATATCCACAGGATTGTCATGAAAAGGAAGGACAATATGATTTACCTCTGGAAACTCATAAATGCTCTCTAGTTGGATTAAAGGAACTCTGGATGGAAGTTTTCTTAAACCTCTAGTTAAATGTTAAATACACTAAAAACTGCCAGAATATATTCTTATTATGTAAAGAAATAATGCAGAGAACAGTTGGCTTATTACATAATGATGATGAAAAAGTGAAAAATTTTCAAAAATTGATATTTCCTTAATTATTTTATTTTGAATAGATATCATAAACTGGGAACAGGATTTAATCCTAATACATTAGATAAACAGAAAGAAAGGCAAAAAGGTTTGCCAAAACAGGTCTTTGAATCCGATGAAGCTCCAGATGGCAACAACTACCAGGATGAACAAGTAATACTTTTATTTTTAAATGACTATAAGAAGTTATTTTAATATAGTTGTTTTTATTCATTGATTAATATATTTAATGTTTTACATTACAGGATGATCTTAAAAGACGTTCAATGTCAATAGATGATACTCCAAGGGGTAGCTGGGCCTGCAGTATTTTTGACTTGAAAAATTCACTTCCTGATGCTTTGCTTCCCAATTTACTTGATCGAACTCCAAATGAAGAAATAGACCGTCAGAATGATGACCAAAGGAAAGCAAACCGTCATAAGGAACTCTTTGCCTTGCATCCATCACCAGATGAGGTATAGATAATTTGGATATAAAGAAGCAAATGATTATTAATATAGATGTTTTGGGAGTATGAATTGTATGTAGCATTATGATAATGTAGGGAATAAAACTTAATTGAAACATAGCTATGCTTTTTGTAAATGAAATATAGTTGAGCACACTTATGATGTAATGACTCCTGTTTGAGGATAAATAGGCCATTCTTTTCTGTGTTCACTTGTGAAGACTAAAAGTAGTAGATTAATAAAATAAGTTCTTAAAAAATAAATTGTAAAGGGTTGACACATGGTAAGCATGTTCATTTTGGTGTTGCTTGTCAATTTGTAGGAAGAACCAATAGAACGACTTAGTGTTCCTGAGGTGCCCAAAGAACATTTTGGTCAAAGACTTCTTGTAAAATGTTTATCACTCAAGTGAGTATTTATTTTGTTTACTATGTAACTTTTATTTTCTGGAATAATATTTTGAATACCAGTATAACAAAATCCTGGTAGATTTTATACTTGTGTTTGTGTCCTTTTGAAAAGTAATGTTCTGTACATAATTTTAAATTCTACTAAACATTTCATCCTGCCTATGAAGCTGAGCTTGAGAGCATTTTTGGCTAGGTGAAGATGACTCTGCCTCAGTTATATAACTAGTCTTAAAACTTGAAAAAACGTTCACTGAAATCTGTAGTATTTATCAGACACTGTTCTTGGCTTGAGGAATATAAAGACAAAGTATCTTTTTCCTTAGAGATGATTTTATATTTGTTACATGGCAGGCTTTCTTTTTTCTTAAGATTTTGAAGTACGTAGTAATGGTTGATTTAGACTGTGAAAGGTATACGTGGAGAAGTGTGTTTCAGGAAGAGGGGCAGTATAGATGGTGTAGCACAGATGTAGAAAAGTACAAGGTATTGAGAGAATTTATTTTTGGAATGAGAGTTTCTCTTGAACTATGTACTTTATTTTTAAACTGCTTTATCCTTTTCCTTCTTAAAGGTTTGAGATTGAAATTGAACCCATTTTTGCAAGTTTGGCTTTATATGATGTGAAGGAAAAGAAAAAGGTAAGGTTATATAATTTGAACCTAGTCTTTTGTCATAATCATAGGTTCAGAAACCTGTTGTTAAGTTGTTTTATAAGATAAATAATGACTTTTTGAGAATATTATTAAACATGGATTTTTTAAGAAGCAAGTAGAAATTTAAGACATAAAGTATTTTCTTACTCTAAAATAGTTCAGTTGACCTAGTTTTTATTTCATTGAAAGAGTTCCAAAAGCAAGTAGCAGAAGCAACTTTCTTTTAGTTTAATAAATAGAAAAAAATACAAGAAAACCATTTTGGGCAACTGATGTATAAAGGATTATAATGATGGTGACAGTGAATTTTTGTTGATGTAATTTTCAGATTCTCACTAGCTAAAAGATCATTTATATATATTTCAAATATTTTTGTCTAAAGTAGTGCTCTTAGTTTTGCCATTATATCTTTATTACACTTAGGAGTTTTTCAGAGGGCTGTCTCATACAGCATTTCAGTATTCTAAGCCTAATGTGTACTAGAAACTTAAAATGCCTTTAGTGACTTCTGCTGTCAACTTATTATGGATTTCTATAGTGGAACTGTATTCCAGCAACTTGTATTTGCTAAATCAAATCTTCTGAGATGTTATTCATGTAATTGTTTTAAAGACTCAGTTTGGGGTAATTCATCTCAATAATAATTTCTTTATATACTTTATTAGAAGTTAAATTTCTAATTAAAAGAGTGTGGGAGGGCTTCCCTGGTGGCACAGTGGTTGAGAGTCCGCCTGCCAATGTAGGGGACACGGGTTCGTGCCCCAGTCCGGGAAGATCCCACATGCTGCGGAGCGGCTGGGCCCGTGAGCCATGGCCACTGAGCCTGCACATCCTGAGCCTTTGCTCCGCAACGGGAGAGGCTACAGCAGTGAGAGGCCCGCGTACCGCAAAAAAAAAAAAAAAAAAAAAAAGAGTGTGGGATATGGTTCTTTAGAATATGTTTTTTGCATTATATATTTTTTTGCTTTGATATAGACATGTAAAGATCAGTCAGTGAAATATATGGTAAACTGTATGTTAGTATAATCGTCTAATATCTGTAATATTTTAAGACTGTATGATTTTTGTGAGTTTTTATAAAATACACAGGTTTTAAATTTAATATATGAATATGTTTTTTAGATTTCAGAAAACTTTTATTTTGACCTTAATTCTGAGCAGATGAAAGGATTATTACGTCCACATGTACCACCTGCTGCCATTACCACCCTGGCACGATCAGCAATTTTTTCTATCACTTATCCTTCCCAAGATGTTTTTCTTGTAATAAAGGTGAGAATAATGTTAAATATATTTGTTTATTTGTGTTGTGTCTCTATACTTGTGTCCCTATCAATATTGCAGGCTTTTTAAGGGTAAAGATTTTATCTTTAACCTATTTTTTCATCTTAATATTTCTTAACACTATATTAGACGTATACTATAGGCGCTACCTAAATTTTTCTTGAGTGGGGAGCTTTATTAGGGTTCTCCAGAGAAATAGATCAGTAGGAGGGAGATACACACACACACACACACACACACACACACACATACACACACACACACACACAGAGAGATTGATTTTAAGGAAGTGGCTCGTGTGATTGTGGGGGCTGACAGTTTTGGAATGTGTAGTGCAGGCTGGAAATCCAGGAAAGGGGTGATGTTGTAGGCTTAAGTCTGAATTCCACAGGGCAGCAGACCAGAAACTCAGGCAGGATTGCTGTGTTGCAGTCTTGAGAATCCTTCTTTGAGAAACCTTAGTCTTTGTTCTTCAAGTCTTCAACTAACTGGATGAGGCCCACCCACATTATGGAGGGTAATCTGCTCTACTCAAAGTCTACTGATTTAAAAGTTAATCACCTCTAAAAAATACCTTCATAGCAACATCTAGATTGGTGTTTGATAACCTAGCCATGTTGGCATATAAAATTAAGCATCATAGGAACTATACTATGATTTTATCACTCAGCTCCTAAATATATAAATACTAAAATCTAAATCATTGAGATCATGGAGCATTATGATTTGACTGTCAGCCAATTAAGAATAAGGATTACAGGGCTTCCCTGGTGGTGCAGTGGTTGAGAGCCTGCCTGCCGATGCAGGGGACACGGGTTCGTGCCCTGGTTCGGGAAGATCCCACATGCCACGGAGTGGCTGGACCCGTGACCCATGGCTGCTGAGCCTGTGCGTCCGGAGCCTGTGCTCCGCAATGGGAGAGGCTACAACAGTGAGAGGCCCGCGTACCACACTAAAAAAAAAAAAAAAAAGAATAAGGATTACAGATTCTAAAATCTGAATATTACTAAGCCACTTAGCTTAGGGTAACTTAAGAATAATTTACCTTAGCTTGACCTTGACTTGAGAATAGCCTAAAATATATTCTTTAATCTTTTTTTCTGTATTTATATAAAATTATCATAAAAAGGTAATGAATTTTATAATAAGGTTATAAAGTGGATTGTCATGAAATGAATTTTATTTACCCACAGGAATAATGTCCTAATTTGTGGACAGATTCCTATGAATTCAGGTTAAAATAAATCTTACTTACAATGAACAATCTTACAAGCAAAGATTTAGCAGCAGTGGTCTTCAGAAACTCACTTAAGAGTAAAGTTCTAGATATTAATACAATTGATAAATGTGTATACACAGTTATTTTACATGGGAAAATAGTAAGTTTTCATAAAATAGAGCATATTTGAGGGAATGAACTGGAAAGATAGAGATGGTGATTGGAATACTGGCTGCTTAAAAATGAGACTATTCATACCATACGTTCCCAATTGTGTAAAATATATACACACACACCTGTACACACATAAATGGTTGTATATACATAGAAAAAGACTTTTACATAATTTCAAAAATATGTACAAGTTAAAGTGTTTTACAGACTTTAAAGAAAATGTATTTAGGAGGTTTTCTTAAATCATAGTCCAGCAGGACGTTTTTGTTTTTTGAGAGAAAAATCCCCTTGATCTGTGTATTAGTTAGTTATTGCTCTACAAGAACAAAAAGACAAAATCCCAGTGGCATACAACAATAAGCATTTTTTAGTTCATGCATCTGAGTTGTCTGTGTGGTCAGCCAATATAGGTTGAACTCTGTTAGGTAGTTGTGCTCCTTCCAAGTGTCTGTAGGTTGGCTGGGCGTCACTTGATTTAGTTAGAGCTGATCTTTGTATGTCTCTTTTCTGGCAGGCTAGACTGGCGTATTCTCATGGTGATTGCATAGGTACCAGAGAGCAGACCTAGTTGCACAGACACTTTTCTAGCATTTGGTCACATCACACCAGCTAACATTTTATTGGCCAAAACAGGTCACATGATAACACAAACTCTAGGAGTTGTGATATATACCTGACCTCTTTATTTGGAGGAATTGCAATGTCATATAGCAGTGAGGGGGTAAAGGAAGGGTGAAGAGTCATAGGATATTTATATGTCAGCTTTGGTAGATGCTGCCATATTGGTTTCCAAAGTATCTGTGATAGTTGTATTCCCCACCAGGGGTGAATAAGAGTTTCAGTTAGTCACACTTACCAGTTTTTTAAAAAACTGACATATGAAATACGTATAATAAGACCTGTATAGTTTACAAATGTGGGGTAAACAGAGCGATGAATTCTTACTATGTATTTTTCTGTGTAATCATGACTAAGCTCAAGCCATACAGTATTTTCATCACCCCATCACCCTGGAGAGTTCTTTTGTTTGTCTTTCTAGTGACTATCCCCTCTGTTCCACCAGATGACTAGTATTCCAACTTAAATCACCATTATTTAGCTTTTCCTCTTCTTGAATTTCATCTGAGCACAGTCATACAATATGTAGTCTTTTGTGCCTGGCTTGTTTCAACTCTATAATTTCTGTGAGAATCCTCTATATTATGTACAGCAGTAGTTTGTTCTTTTATTTTTATCATCATGTTTTACTTCATTGTCTGATTATAGCACATTATTTATCCTGCTTAGATGAATAGATAGACCTTGGTAGACCATAGGGGTTTTTTTTCCCCCCTAATGTATATCTGGTTTTCAGTTGGTTATTATGAATAAAGCTTCTATGTACATTCTTTAACAAGTCTTTTGGTACATGAGTATACATGTGTTTGCCACTCTGTGCTTGCTTTCTCACAGAATGTTATCCTTTGATAAATCAAAGTTTATAGCTTACATGTTGTCTAATTTATCAACCTTTTTCTTTATGGCTATGGTATTTTGTGTTTTATGTATGAAATATTTGTCTCCCTCAAATTCAAAAATATATTCTCTTAAGTGATCCCTGGTAAGAGTAATTGTTTCACCTTACACATATAGTTTGGAGTGAAGTTGAGATGAAGATTAATGCCCCCCACATATGGATAACCAAATGACCCAGCACTATTTATTGAAAAGACTGCTTTTTTCTCCTACTGCTTTTACAAAGTATCCCATGTCATAAATCAAGTGTTCATGTGTATGAGATTTTTTTCCTAGAATCTTTTTTGGTTCAACTGGCCTGTTTGTCTTTAATTGGCACTAGTACCACACTGTTTTAATTATAGTAGTTTAGAGACTTCCCTGGTGGCGCAGTGGTTAAGAATCCGCCTGCCAGTGCAGGAGACACAGGTTCAATCCCTGGTCCGGGAAGCTCCCACATGCCGCAGATTAACTAAGCTGGTGTACCAGAACTACTGAGTCTGCACTCTAGCGCCCACGAGCCACAACTACTGAGCCCACGCGCCACAACAACTGAAGCTTGCACACCCTAGAGCCCACATGCCACAACTGCTGAGCCTGTGTGCTGCAACTACTGAAGCCCATGCACCTAGAGCCCATGCTCTGCAACAAGAGAAGCCACCACAATGAGAAGCCTGTGCACTGCAACAAAGAGTAGCCCCTGCTCACCGCAATTAGAGAAAGCCTGCGCACAGCAACGAAGACCCAAGGCAGCCAAAAAAAAAAATTATTGTAGTTTATAAAAAACAGTATATTTTTTTCTAGCTTTATTCTTCAAGATTGCCTTGGATGTTCCTTTTTCTTTTTCTTTTTTTTTTAATAAAGTATGATTTCCATTTTATTGTCTTTTCAGAGAACAGTATTTCTTCAGTCTTTAAGGACTTAGCTCCTTACGTGGGCTTTGGTGGAAGTCGTGGGGCAGCACCTGTAGGTCTAAATCAGGGTGGAGGTGTTCGGTCCTTCTGAGCTTCCCGAGAACTATTCCTGACTACCTTGCTGTGAATGGCACAACTCATGCAGTAATGTAGTTTCACATACAGCTTGGAAAGCACATAGGCATCGAAAACACTTGCTTCAGAAATGTCCCTGACGGCTTAGGCCTCTACTATGTTCTGAATGATGAGCTTCTTAATGGCCTTGTCCTTGCGCAAGCATCGGGCACAGTTGGTGCAGCAAACAGGCTACACATGGCCGTGGCCCTTTTTGGCATGACCGTTGTTCCTTCTTTTCTTGGTCATCTTGGAAGTGAGGAGGTGAGAGAGGCTGGATGTTTTTGACCCTTTACATTTTTGTATAAATTTTTGCTTGTCAGTCTCTCCATGCTGCCCCAATGCAGGCATACTCTCTCTCAAGAAAGAACTTGTTGAGATGTTAACTGAGATTGCATTAAATATACTGATCAATTTGGAAAAGCTGACGTCTTTAAACTGCTGAGTTCTCCAGTCAATGAGCACAGTATGTTTTTAGGTCTTTTCTCCTATATCTTCCTGATAATTTGATATTTTTGACCCTGTTCTAAATGTTATCATTTAAAATTTTTCATTTTAAATTATATACAGAATTTCATTCATCACTGGTGTATAGAAATTCAGTTATCTTTTCTTTATAAATTTTTATTTATAGTTAGTAACATGCACAAGGTGTACACTTTCTTTAATTTTTACATACTTAACTCAGTTGTGTAACCAACATCCAGATCAAGGTATATAGAACATTACTCAACAGCCTTCTTTGGCCCCTTCCTACTATGCTGACTTATCATCATGGATTAGTTTAACCTCTTTTTCTTCATAGAAAAGGAATCATATATGTTCTTGTGTCTGACATTCTAAAGAATTATATGATTCATCATTTTTGCATGTAGCAATAGTTGGTTGTTTTTCACCCTGCATAGTATCTTGTTATATGCATATCACAGTTTGGCCATTCTAATAGTCGATGGACATTGGGGTTATTTCTAGCTTTTGGCTATATTCTAAGTAATGCTGCTGTAAACATTCTTTTTTTTTTTTTTTGCGGTATGCGGGCCTCTCACTGTTCTGGCCTCTCCCGTTGCGGAGCACAGGCTCCAGACGTGCAGGCTCAGCGGCCATGGCTCATGGGCCCAGCCGCTCCGCGGCATGTGGGATCTTCCCGGACCAGGGCACGAACTTGTGACCCCTGCATTGGCAGGCAGACTCTCAACCACTGCGCCACCAGGGAAGCCCTGTAAACATTCTTATATATGATTTTTGCATTTCTATTGAGTATATAGGTAGATGTTGAATTACTGGGTCATAGTGTATTTATAGCTTCAGTTTTAGTAGAAAGAACCAGTTTTCTGACGTGGTTAGTCCAAGTTTCAGTCTCATCAGCAGTGCTTGAGAATTTTATTTGCTCCATTTCCTTCTTAACATTTGATATCATCAGGTGTTATTGTATTTTACATTTCAATTTCATTAATTTTATTTTATTACGTATTTTATTTCTGGTGCATTTGCAGGGGTATGTCAGTTTGGCTTTAATTTATAATTCCCTGATGTCTAAGAATTATTGGCCATTTGGATATTCTGTTTTGTGTAGTGCTCATTCAAATAGTAAGCTCATTTTTAGCTTGTTTATATACATAAAAAACACAAATTTTAAGTGTGTAGGATACATAAGTTTTAAGTGAAAAAAATACAGTTGTGTAATCTTCATTTCATTGGATTGTTTTTATTTTATCAATTATTAATTTATTAGTTTGTAAGAGCGCTTTATGTATCCTCCATTCACTAATTTGAAGTATCAACTTTATTATGTGCTAAATTCTTGCATACACTTCATTTGGTTTCTGGACTTTTATCCTATTTTGTTTATATTTCTTTTCCTAAAACATTAAAAATTTTATAGGGGTAAAGTGAGACATTTTGGAGAAAAATGATAAGGAGAATTGTATTGGCCACTTAATATTTTGTGAGTTGTCTTTTTTAATTGTAATTTTGTACTTTGATGTTATATTAAATGGAGATGACTTTTAAGACTGATTGCTTTTATTAATAGTTATAATTGAGGTAAAATACACATAACATAAAATTTACCATCTTAATCGTTTTTATGTGTACAGTTCAGAATTAAGTATATTCAGATTATCATGCGAGCAATCTTTAGAAAATTTTATCTTGCCAACAAAACCTTAACCCTCTATACACATTAAGTAGCAGCTCTTCATTTCCCCTTCTCCCCAGCCTCTGCCAACCAGCATTTTGCTCTTTGTTTCTATGAATTTGTCTATTCTAGATACCTCATTTGAATGGAATAATACAGTATTTGTCTTTTTGTGACAGGCTTATTTCCCTTGGCGTAATGTCTTCAAGGTTCATCCAGGTGGTAGCATGTTTCAGAATTTTCTTCCTTTTAAGGCTGAATAATATTCCATGTGTATGTGTATACTCATGTTTTGTTTACTCATTTTTTGATGGACACTTGAATTGCTTCTACCTTTTGGCTATTGTGAATAATGCTGCTATGAACATGGGTGTGTGAATATCTGTTTGAGTCCCTGCTTTCAATTCTATTGAATATATACCCAGAAATAGGTTTTCTGAATTACATGATAATTCTATTTTTAACTTTTTGAGGAACCTCTGTACTGTCTTCTACAGCAGATTACGATTTTACACCATAAAAAGCACACAGGGGTTCCAGTTTTCCATATCCCTGCCAATGCTTGTTATTTGTTTGTTTGTTTATTTAATTGTGGCCATCCTGATGGGTGTAAGGTGATATCTCATTGTGGTTTTGATTTGCATTTCCCTAATGATTAGTGATGTTGAGTGTCTTTTTATATGCTTCTTAGACGTTTGTATGGCTTCTTTGGAGAAATGTCTATTCAAGTTCTTTGCCCATTTAAAAATCAGATTATTTGTTGTTTTGTTGTTGAGTTGTAGGATTTCTTTATCTGTTTTGGATAAAGAACTCCTTATCAGTTATATGATTTGCAAATATCTTCTCTCATTCTGTGGGTTGCCTTTCACCCTGTTGATTGTGTTCTGTCATATACAAAAGTTTTAAATTTTGATGTAATCCAATTTAACTATTTTTACTTTTGTTGCCTTTGCTTTTTTTTGTGTCAAATCCAAGAATACATTACCAAATCCAATCACAGGAAGCTTTTCCTTTATTTTTTCTTCTAAGAGTTTAATAGTTTTAGGTTTATGTTTAGGTGTTTGATCCATTTTGAGTTAATTTTTGTATATAATATAATGTAAGGGCTCAACTTTATTCTTTTGCATTTGGATATTCAGGTTTCTTTTAATATCATTTGTTGAAAAAACTTTTCTTTCCCCATTGAATAGTCTTGGCACCCTTGTAGAAAATCTAACTATTTATAGTTTTCAGATTACAGATCTTTCACCTTTTTGGTTAATTCCTCAGTATTTTATTCTTTTTGATATTATTGTAAATGGAATTTTTTTCTTAATTTCCTTTTTGAATTGCTCATTGCTCGGGTATAGAAATGCAACTGATTTTTTGTGTGTTGATTTTGTATCCTGCAACTCTGCTGAATTTATTAGTTCTAACAAGTTTGTGTGTGTGTGTGTGTGTGTGTGTGTGTGTGTGTAATATTAGAGTTTTCTATATAAGAGATCATGTTGCCTGTGAATAGAGATAATTTAACTTCTTCCTTTTCAATTTGGATGTTTTTGTTTCTTTGTGTTGTCAAATTGCTCTGGCTCAGACTTCCAGTACTTTGTTGAATAGAATTGGCAAAAGTGAACATCCTTATCCTGTTCCTCATTCTAGAGGAAAAGCTTTTGGTTTTTCAGTGTTGAATATGATGTTAAATGTGGACTTTTCATATATGGTCTTTATTATATTGAGGTAGCTTTCTTCTTTTCTAAGTTCATTCAGGTGTTGAATTGTCCAGCTCTTTTTCCTGCATCAGTTAAGATGGTCATGTGTTTTTTTTCTGTTATTTTGTTAATGTGGTGTATTATATTGATTGATTTTTGTATTTTGTACCATCCTTACATTCCAGGCTGATTGCTTTTATTTTTAAGCTTAATTAATCTTTACTCTTTTTGTCTTTGACAGCTAGAAAAAGTGCTACAGCAAGGAGACATTGGAGAGTGTGCAGAACCATATATGATTTTCAAAGAAGCAGATGCCACCAAGGTAGAATGTCATGCCTCTTATTTCTGCCACTTTCATAGTCATTAGCAGTCACTTTCCATTCTCCTCAGATCCCCAAACCCAACCCTAAACAACCTCTAATCTCCGAAATTATAATTTGGGAGAATACTATACAGAGCATATTAAAGAATTTTACTACTAGTTCATTTTTTTCTCTTGGCCTACCCATTTTCTTTATTTCCTTCAGTACCTAGCTTGAGTCATGTGCTATGCTATTCTTTAAAATCTCCCTCACCCCAAGCTAATGGATTCCTAAAGAATCAAATTAGTTCAGTTTAATTCCTAAATAATAAAAAATTTCCTGTGTTTGCAAAATAGTGATTTTGATGGAACTTTTTCTAGCAAAGCAGAAGTATTCTGGGCCTCTGTCTAGCTGCAGATAATTAGGAAATATGGTAAAAATAGAAAATACAATCTCCATTTTGCCATCAGATAACTAATTTCTAGAATTTGGATAAACTTATAAAGCAAAAATAATAGGTGAACAATCGGTACCAAATTCCAGATACCCTGAGTTAGTTATAAGAATAACAGGTGAGGACTTCCCTGGTGGCGCAGTGGTTAAGAATCCGCCTGCCAATGCAGGGGACACGGGTTCGAGCCCTGGTCTGGGAAGATCCTACATGCTGTGGAGCAGCTAAGCCCATGTGCCACGACTACTGAGCCTGTGCTCTAGAGCCCGCGAGCCTCAACTACTGAGCCTGCGTGCTGCAACTACTGAAGCCCGCACACCTAGAGCCCATGCTCTGCAACAAGAGAAGCCACTGCACCACAACGAAGAGTAGTCCCTGCTCGCCGCAACTAGAGAAAGCCCGCGCGCAGCAACAAAGACCCAATGCAGCCAAAAAAAAAAAACAGCATAGCAGGTGATTTTTGGATCTTTGAACACATGATTTAATATGTCAAACAGCCAGGAGAGGTGTGCTTGAGGAGTATTGGACAAATCACCACAATCTAGAAAATGTTTTGCTTTTTATTTTTCTGAGATTTGGAACAAGAATTGAGTGTTTTCTGCTAATATGGGTGCATCTGAGCACATGATATTCTCTGATTCCTGGATATCTGGTTGAAATTAGGGTTAAACTATTCTGGCTTTCCCCAGGTCGTCATTTTACAAATTAAATTGCTCTGTTATATGAAGTTCATAGGTGTATAATTGCAGCTTACTTCACTCTTATCTTACATATTCACATGCTTGATAAGGGTCCTTAATTCTCTTTAAGTACTCTTAAAGCAAGAACCTATTTTGAAGGTATAATAGATACAGCAGTAAGCAGTCCTACCATTTAGCTATTTCTTCATCTTTTCTCAGTCCTGAGTCCTAAGGTAGGACACTGCCATTTGAGTATACCTTACCAATATCCTATATGGAAATAGTATGTGAGAGATTTTAGTGTAGGTTTTCACCCTTGGACCATTGGTTGGCTATTGCAGGCCACCTTAGTGTTTGTTTCAAGGATAGCCTAAAAGTTGAGCCAGCCTCAGGATGTCTTCCAGATAAGCACGTGCTATTTGGATCATTGGTCTTTTTCCAGGGTTTAGTCCTCTTGTCATACTTTTTTTGTTTGCTTCTTTTATTACAGCTCTGGGCTTATTTATTGTTGGTTTATTTGTGACCCCCAGTCCCACCTCATAGTTGTCATAAGTTAGTGATTATGTCAGAATGGCCCAACTGCTTCCATCTTTTTTAGAAAAATAAAATTTAATAAGTCGTAACCTAGAATATTTTGTGGTTGGCAGTTCGTGTCTAGAACCTGTTGTCTAGGTTATGTTTCCTTTCATAAAATAGTACTTTCAGTACATAAACATGTTTGACTCTTGCTGTCCTTTCTTTTCTCCCAACATAAGATCATCACAAACAGAAATTTTAAAGACTTTCACATACATTTGTAGAACTGGTTGAGGTTGCTTAGTAAAGATAATATACTGTTAATTGATCTCTGAAAGGTACAGATTGTTTTTCCATCTTTGCTGAGAATTGAGAATCCTTAACCTTTATATTTTCCTTTATATATTATGAAATAGCCTTTAATTCATTTCTTTGAACGTAATCATATAATGTATAAAGTTTTGTTTTGCAGAATAAGGAAAAATTGGAGAAGCTGAAAAGTCAAGCTGATCAGTTTTGCCAAAGACTTGGGAAGTATCGCATGCCTTTTGCTTGGACTGCAATCCATTTAATGAATATTGTTAGCAGTGCTGGGAGTTTGGAAAGAGATTCTACAGAGGTGGAAATAAGCACTGGAGGTGAGAATGTTTTATATAAAATATTTTTACATGTATAATGCTTTTCTTTTTCTTATATAGTCTTGTTATATTTGTAAGCTTTGCAATGTAGTGAGACATTAAAAGGGTTTTCTTTTTTTCCTTTAACGGGTTTATTGAGATGTAATTCACATACGTACAGTTTGCCCATTTAAGATGTATAATTCAGTGTTTTTTGTTATATTCATAAGTTTCAGAAAATGTCACCACAATCTAATTTTAGAACTTTCATACTCCTTAGTGGTCACTCTTCTCCTCAAGTCCCCAAACCTAACCAAACTGTAATTTATTTAGTCTGTATGGATTTGTCTATGCCAGACATTTCATATTAATAGAATTATACAATATGTAATCTTTTGTGAGTAGCTTCTTTCACTTAGCATAATGTTTGAAAGGTTCACACATGTTGTTACATCTGGGTATAGTCCATTTTGAGTTAATTTTTGTACATGGTAAGAGGTAAGGGTCCAACTTCATTCTTTTTATGTAGATATCTAGTTGTCCCAACACCATTTGTTGAAAAGGCTATTCTTTCCCTATTGAATGGTCTTGGCACTCTTGTTGAAAATCAATTGACCATCGATATATGGTTTTATTTCTGGACTCTCAGTTCTGTCCCATTGATATATATGCTTATGCTAGCACTATACTATCTTTATTATTTTAGCTTTGCACTAAGTTTTGAAATTGGGAATAGTGGGTCCTCCAATTTTTTTTAAGATTATTTTGAGCTCTTGCATTTTCATAAGAAGTTTAGGGTCAGGTGATAATTTCTGCACAAAGGCAGCTGGAATTTTGATAGGAATTACATTGATTTGGTAGATCAATTTGTGGAGTGTTGCCCTCATAACAATATTAAGTCTTCCAATCTGTGGAATGTTTTTCCATTTATTTAGATCTTAAAAATTTATTTAAACAATCTTGTAGTTTTCAGTGTACAAGTCTTGCCCCTCTCTTGTTAAATGTGCATCCCAGTATTTTATTGGTTTTTGATGGTATTTTAAATGGATTGTTTTCTTAATTTCATTTTCCTAATGTTCATTTTTAGTGATAGAAATACAGTTGGCTTCTGAATATTGACCTTGTACTTTGAAACCTTTTTGAATGTGTTTATTAATTCTAATTTTTTTTTCTTTTCTGGATTCTTTAGGATTTTCCATGTATAAGATCATGTCATCTGCGAATTAAAATAAGTTTACTTTTTTTTTCCCCCATCTGGATGTCTTTATTTATTTTTCTTTTCTAATTATCTTGACTAGAACCTCCTGTACAGTATTAAAAAAAATGGCAAGAGTGGATATCCTCATCTTGTTCCTGACCTTAGGGGGAAGGCACTCAGTCTTTCACTATCAAGTATGATGTTTGCTATAGGTTTTTCATAGATGTAATGTAGTAGTTTGAGGAAGTTCCCTTCTATTCCTAACTTTTTGAGTGGTTTTGTCATGGAAGGATATTGGATTTTGTAAAATGCATTCTTTGAGTTTACTGAGATGATTTGTATGGTATTTTGCCCTGTAGTCTTTTAGTATGCTGTATTGCATTAATTGATTAGTTTTGGATGTTAAACTAATCTTACACTTCTGGGAGAAGTCTCACTTGGCCATGGTATATAATTTTTTTTTATGTGTTGTTAGTCTGTTTCCTAGTATTTTGTTTAGTATTTTTGCTTCTATATTCCTAAGGGATATTGGTCTGTAGTTTTTCTTCCTTGTAATATCTCTGTCTGTTATTGGTATCAGGGTAATAATACTGGCCTCATTGAAAATGAGTTGTGATTTTTTCCTTCTGGTTTTTGGAAGAATTTGTAAACAATTGGTATTAATTTTTCATTGAAAGTTTGGAAGAATTCACTAGTGAAGCCACCTTGGCTTGGTCTTTTCTTTGTGGTAAGTATTTTCATTACTAATTATATCTCTTGTTATACATCTATTCATATTTTCTCTCTCATCTTGAGTCAGTTTCAGTACTGTGTATCTTTCTAGAAATGTGTTCATTTCATCTAAATTATCTAATTGTTATCTAACTGTTGACTTACAGTTATTCATAGTATTGTAGTATAATCCTTTTTCTCTCTAAGGTCTGCTGTAGTGATGATTTTAGTAATTTGAGTCCTGTCTATGTATTTGTTTTTTAATAAATTTATTTATTTTTGGCTGCATGGGGTCTTCGTTGCTGTGCAAGGGCTTTCTCTAGTTGTGGCAAGCAGGGGCTACTCTTTGTTGTGGTGTGTGGGCTTCTCATTGTGGTGGCTTCTTTTGTTGTGGAGCACAGGCTCTAGGCACGCAGGCTTCAGTAGTTGTGGCATGCAGGCTCAGTAGTTGTGGCGCATGGGCTTAGTTGCTCCGCGGCATATGGGATCTTCCTGGACAAGGGCTTGAGCCCATATCCCCTGTACTGGCAGGTGGATTCTTAACCACTGCACCACCAGGGAAGTCCCCTGTCTATGTATTTTTTTCTTCATTAGTTTAACTAAAGTTTTAAAAATTTTATCTTTTTGAAGAATCAGTTTTTGGTTTCATTGATTATTTTTCTATTGTTTTCCTAGTTTCTATTTCATTTATTTCCACTTAGCTGTTGTCTTTTTTGGTATCCTTTCTTTTTTTTTAACATCTTTACTGGAGTATTGCTTTACAGTGGTGTGTTAGTTTCTGCTGTATAACAAAATGAATCAGCTGTATATCCCCATATCTCCTCCCTCTTGCATCTCCCTCCCACCCTCCCTATCGCACCCCTCTACTCTAGGTGGACACAAAGCACCGAGCTAATCTCCTTGTGCTATGCAGCTGCTTCCCACTAGCTATCTGTTTTACATTTGGTAGTGTATATATGTCCATGCCACTCTCTCACTTCGTCCCAGCTTACCCTTCCCCCTCCCTGTGTCCTCAAGTCCATTCTCTAAGTCTGTGTCTTTATTCCTGTCCTGTCCCTAGGTTCTTCAGAAGCATTTTTTTTTGTTTTGTTTTGTTTTAGATTCCGTATATATGTGTTAGCATACAGTATTTATTTTTCTCTTTCTGACTTACTTCACTCTGTATGACAGTCTCTAGGTCCATCCACCTCACTACAAATAGCTCAATTTCGTTTCTTTTTATGGCTGAGTAATATTCCATTATATATATGTGCCACATCTTCTTTATCCATTCATCTGTCGATGGACACTTAGGTTGCTTCTGTGGCCTGTCAATTGTAAATACAGCTGCAGTGAACATTTTGGTACATGACTCTTTTTGAATTATGGTTTTCTCAGGGTATATGCCCAGTAGTGGGATTGCTGGGTCATATGGTAATTCTATTTTCAGTTTTTCAAGGAACCTCCATACTGTTCTCCATAGTGACTGTATCAATTTACATTCCCTTGGTATCCTTTCTAATGCTTGCTTTGGGTTTAGTTTTCTCTTCTTTTTCTAGTTTGTTAAGATGTAAGCTTAAGTTACTGATTTGAGATCTTTCTTTTTTTGTAATATAAACATTCACAGCTATAAATTTCCCTCTGAGAACTTCTTTAGTGATATATCATATGTTTGGGGGTTTTGCATTTTCATTTTCCTATATCTTAAATGTTTTAAAATTTCCCTTGTTACCTCTTTGATCCATTGGTTATTCAGAAGTGTGCTGTTTAACTTCCACACGCTTATGAATTTCTCAAATTTTCTTCTGTTATTGATTTATAGCTTAATTCCAGTGTTCTTGGAAAACATATTTTATATGATTTGAATCCCTTTGAATTTATTGTATTTTGTTCTATAGCTTATTATATAGTTTGTCTTGGAGAATTTCCTGTGTGTGCTTGAGAAGAATGTGTATTCTGCTTTTGCTTAGTGGTGTATTCTATAGATGCCTGTTAGGTCTAGCTTGTTTATAGTTTTGTTTGTTTTCTACAACATAGTTGCTCTATTGGTTTTGAATTATAAGGTTATCTTGCAAGGACTTTGAATGCAAGTTGTCTTAAATTCTTTTTCAAACTCAAGTGCTAAGACTGAGGGGCCATTATATGACCAAAATTTGCATTGTGTGCCTATTTCCTAGTAAATACATAGTTCCTCTATAGCTGTTCTTCATAGCTCATATTGGGTTATATGCATAATCTTTGTGTGGTAGAGACTTATTTTACACCGGAGAAGTTTTTAAAGAGAACCCAAAGATTTAGGTGTAATGCTTCCTTACAGATCTCCCCAGAAGTGAAATTCTTCTGCTGTAATCAGTATTGCTGAGGGGATAATTTTCAACTTTAGTGGCTATTTTCCTGTGTTTGGAGGACTGCTTTAAAACACATTTTAAATATTATGGAAATGAATATCTTACTTTTTTTCCTTGGTAGAACGAAAGGGGTCTTGGTCAGAGAGGAGGAATTCTAGTCTGGTTGGCAGAAGATCACTTGAAAGGACAACAAGTGGAGATGATTCTTGTAACTTGACCAGCTTTCGACCTGCTACTCTCACAGTGACAAATTTTTTTAAGCAGGTATTGTTCTGTCATGGAGGAATTCTAGGGGGCTATTCGTACTTAAATTTCTTGTGATTTCAGAAAAATCATAATTTTCCATGTATTACATGTACATGTAGTAATTGTGATTTTAACAAGTTAAAAAAATTAAGAATAAAAAATATAATAAAAAATAATATTATAGCTGTTTTTTCATCATTATATTTATTTAAATGTTGGCATTGATTAGTAATGCTTCCAAATCAATCATCCACATCTGTATCCTATTTCTTAATTTTAATATTTTAACTTTTCTTAAGCATTGATATTTTATGGATTTTCTTCGAGTAGGTGTGTGGTTATATCTGTCTTCCCCACTCAAGTCGTTTTTGACCTAACATACCACATCCATGGTATATAGAATAGAAATTTCAGGCTCTAGTAGTGCATTTTTGTGCTAAAATTATTTTTATAGGTGAGTTTATAGGTCCAAAAAGTTCTTGATCAAAGATACTTTGTTCTTTGCAAGTATATTTCCTGTACTTGAGTCAAATCAGTAGTTTTCAAGTGCTGGTCATGATCCAATAATAGTAATGGAATAGTAATGGAAATTTAGTAGATAACACCCAGCTTAAAAAAAACAAACAAACCAGTAGAATAGAAAAATAATAGTGCATTGCACTTAGTGAAGTTAAATATTGCTTCAGTAGGCTTTTTCCCTCCAATTTTTGTGTGCGTGCATACCTGTCCATATGTGCATACATGGTGTATGTGCTACTGGATTTTGATGTAAAATGAATTTTATACTCTGAATCAGGATCAGAAAATTTCGAAAGTCTGTCTAAAGTAACCAGAGGACCAGAACATTTTAAGGATGGAAGAAAATTTGTATTAGTGTGATAAACTGGAGAAGGGTACTATGCATGTATTTTGGAGCGGATTAAAGGAAAATGCTAAGTATTGCCTCAGAATTCCTCCTTCTGTGGTGTTATTCTAAATAAGAGGAGAAAATCCTGGCCTAGTGACACCTTATAACTTGAGAGGGCAAGGTGTTTAGGGCAGGATGTGTTATGATTTGACAGCTAGCTGTCTAGTATAATGCTACAGTTATATATCAGTAGCATTTACAGGCAGCTGCGCTGAGAGACTCAAATGGAAAATAAAGCAGGTGAGAAGGCTCTGAAGTGGTAAGGGTCTTTTTATTTTGGATAATAGTGCAAGAAAGAATCTAGAAAAGGCCACAGTGTTACTTGGATGAGGTGATAGGCCACATTTAGCTATGGAAACAGGGCAGTAGATTTACTTGTTACAGTGACACAACCTTGTGGCTGTAACATTTCTCTCTCTCTTCGTCTTCAGCTGGTATATCACTTCTGCCACTATTTCCACAGCTTTTTTTTTTCTTCAGCATGTTTTATTATTGAACTAGTATTATAAACTTAAATCAGTAAGTCATCCATCCACCCACCCACCCACCTGTTTATTCAACCAATTTTTTTTTTTTTGCGGTAAGTGGGCCTCTCACTGCTGTGGCCTCTCCTGTCACGGAGCACAGGCTCCGGACGCGCAGGCCCAGCGGCCATGGCTCACGGGCCCAGCTGCTCCGCAGCATGTGGGATCTTCCTGGACCGGGGCACGAACCCGTGTCCCCTGCATCGGCAGGCGGATTCCCAACCACTGCGCCACCAGGGAAGCCCTCAACAAATATTTTTTGAGCATTCATCATGTACTGAACACTGTTGGAGACTGGTAACTGGAAACTGGAACAAAGTGATTGTGAAAACTTAAGGATGATTGCTGGAAATATGGAGCAATGGAAAGCATTTACACTTGACTTTTGTACAGTTCTATAATTTTTTAACTATTAACATATATGATATTTATAAGTATTTTTAAATAGCTAGGATATTATGCATCAGGCAAGTGCATATTAAGTAAAAAGCAGAAATTACAATTTTAATAAAGTAGAATTCAAGGTACAATTTCTCCTAAATGAGATACAGAAGGCAGGTTATTTATTTACTTATTTATTTGTTTGTTTGTTTGGCTGTGCCGGGTCTTAGTTGTGGCATGTGGGATCTTCTTTGCAGCATGCGGTATCTTTTGTGATGCACAGGCTCTTTGTTGCGGTGCGAACTTCTCTTTAGTTGTGGCACACGAGCTCTAGAATGTGTAGGCTCAGTAGTTGCGGCATACGGACCTAGTTGCCCCATGGCGTGTGGGATCCTAGTTCCCCAACTAGGGATCGAACCCTTGTACCCTGCATTGGAAGGTGGATTCTTAACCACTGGACCACCAGGGAAGTCCCCAGGTTTTTTTTTTTTTTAAATGAGAGATTACTGTCCATGATTGGGATATAGTAATCAGGAGTGTTTATGTACAGATTTGAAATGTGTCAAGCCAAAATTATTGGAAATACATAGAGATTTAAAAACAAAAATTAAATCCATACATTAGTTTTAAGGACATTTGTTCTATTTGTTGACATGTATAGAAGTTATCTGTTGCTTCAGGAGTACATAGCAGTACATGCAGTGTGGAGGGGTGAGTGTCAGCTAGGCTTATTCACATGTTTGGCGATTGACTGGGGTCAACTGATCTAGACTGACTTTTGCTGGGAGAACTGAAATGATTCAGACCTTTTCCATGTGTCTCAGCTTCCACTCTTATACTCTAGCAGGCCAGCTTGGTCATGTTGTTATAGCAGTGACAGAAGTTCCAGAGAGGGGGCAAGCTTACTTACGCAAATGCTTTTCAAGTCTCTGTATCATGTTTGCTTACTGATTAGAACAAGTCTCGTGGCCAAGCCCAGGGGAAAGAATTGTGTCCCACCCAACAAAAGGCATGGAAACAGACAGGGAGTAAAGAATGGAGGCCATTGATATAATCAGTTTAACAAGTGAAGTAGACAGAAATAATTGAATCTTGAGATAATTTGAATGTATTCTAAATAAGGACCATTTGAAGATCTGTATTCATTTCTGTACTCAAAAGGAGAGAATATGCTCTTTTAGTAACTGATGGAACATTTACAATAATTAATTGTATATTTAGATCACTGAAAAAATCTTCTTGAAGTCAGATTCTCTAACTATAACTCAGTAAAACTGAAAACCATTTATAAAAGTATTGACAAAAATCTCCAAACACTTAGAAAATAAAAATCACTTTTTAAAATAATGGCATAAAAGAAGATCAGTTCTGTATCCTGTTTAGAATACAATTGTGAACAAATGAGATCTGGCTCAAGGTGAGCTCACAGTAATAAAGGAGGCTTAAGTATGTTTATTACCAAATAGGATAAAAAGACAGTATATGAATTATGCATTAAAAATAATAAGATGTCAAATGCAGGAGGTTTGGATGAATAAAATGTAAAGACTTTTGAATAAAAGAATAAAATCAATCTCTACCTATTTTAACTGTAGGAAAAAATATTACTTTAAATTGAGAATTCTTTGTTAATTGGACATGGTTCGGTTTTTTTGTCTCTTTTCCCCCATTGATTGAGGTCTTTTTAGAGTTTTCTTTCTGGTCTTATTATGGGATAGTTGTCTTGTTTTTTTTAAGAGTAGTTTTTTGTTGTTACTTCTTTCTTTTCTTTTTCAAATGTAGCCAATGCTCTATATTTTGCATTTAAGAAATTTGGTGATATAAAGTTGAAAAGACAAATGGAAACTCAAGTGTAACAAATTTATGAGTGTCATATATATATATATATATATATATATATATATATATATACACGTACATATATATGTCTGTTTTCTGTCTATATTCTTGTTTTCTTCTCTTTATCTCCCTCTAACTCGCACCATTTTTTCTATATTTTAGAGTGCCCTGTAACCCCTTATAAACACAGATAATGGGCTGTAAATAAATCTATAAAATTTAAAAATAGATAGCAATATTATAGCTCAATACAACTTGAAAGCAAGAAGGAAGAAAATAGGTTAGCATATTTATTTTTAATCGTAATTGTATTAATTTAATTTTACTTTTCATTCAGACTGAATTGAAGGAAGAAGGGCAGGATTATTAACAGGCAATATAAACTTATTTTCAATGTACTATATTTTAAAAATCTAATACTTTTTCCTCTATTTTTAAAATTAGGAAGGAGATCGCTTAAGTGATGAAGATCTATACAAATTCCTTGCTGATATGAGAAGGCCATCTTCTGTTTTACGGCGACTAAGACCTATTACAGGTATTTTAAGATTTTGTGTAAACGTGATGACAACTATTATCATCATTAATAATTGTATTTTTTATAATTATCTATTCCGTTTTTCAGTTATCTAGCCCATACGTGTTTCTGTGCTCAAGACCTGTCAGCCTTCTTCATTTCATTATTCTGCTCTCATGTAGTCTTAACAGTTTGGATGCAGGATTCAGTACCTTTGATAATTTGAGTACGGAAATGAGAATGATGAATAACATTGTGGCTTAAAATTATTTTCTAGAGGGAAAAAAATACATGTAATGGTAGATATTCAGAAATAGATTCATATTATGATCAGAGCAAACCATTCCAGAGTAAAACTATTTTGAAATCTACCAAATTTAAAGTAAATCATTTAATCTTCAAAATGTTTTCTTGTTTCTATACTAGATCCCTCTGGTTTTTTTCTTCTTTTTCCCCCTCTTCTTCCTTTCCATTCATTCATTCAGTAAGCATTTATTATTTTATGTCTTTATGTCTGTATTAGTAATTTGTAAGTTTGAGACTTGATAAGATGAAATAATTCAGAGGTCTGAGATGATAGCAATTTTGTTTTCTTCCCAGACTTCTTGCAAAAATAGGATCTAAATCCTTCCAAAAATACTAATAGTGTGAAGTTGTTATTTATTATGTTTACATTGTTTTTATAATGTATTTTTATATGCAGCTCAGCTGAAGATAGACATTTCTCCTGCACCTGAAAATCCCCATTATTGCCTAACACCAGAGCTGCTTCAAGTGAAGCTTTACCCTGACAGTAGAGTTAGACCTACCAGAGAAATTTTGGAGTTTCCTGCAAGGGATGTCTATGTTCCAAACACTACTTACAGGTAGCACATTTTAATTTTGGAGAATTCCGAAATAAGATACTATATATTCTAATATTAATAGAGAATGAAACTCTTCAAAAATCTTTTGTAGCTTTGTTATTCCATTTCTTCATGATTTTATTAATAGCTGTAATGTATTAAGCTATTGCTGTGCAAGAGGTATAATGTTAGTTACCTTACATACATTATCTTATTTAATGTTCATAGCTTGAAGTAGGTATTACCTTCATTTTAGAAGTGAGTAAACTGAGGGATAAAGAGGTTATACTTTACTGTGTTGGAGCTAGCGTTTGAATTGTGGGTTGTTAGGTTAAAACATTTGAACTCCTGGTTACTGTATTTTCTCATGTGTTCTTATTAGCAGAATCTAGCATTACACATGAATCATATGTATGTGCCTGCACTATGTTCTAACAATAAACAATATTTGGTGATTCTACATTGCTCAGAGAATACTTGACACAAGGTTATTGGATAGGCTTTTAGGCCGAACCTGCATAACTCCAGGGGTACCATTTAGATATACTCTTTATAAATGAGGCTTCCTTTATTTGTGAATGCTGAGACCATGACTTGACATGTCTACTGGGATACCCAACAGGGCCGCTCAGACATAAGTTTCTGCCTAGACTTCCCCATCTTAATGTATTTCACCACCGTTTACCCAGTTTCTGAGGCCAAAAGTTTTGGAATCAAAATGATTTCTCTCCTTTTGTTGTTCCTCACATTTACTCCTCCACGAAGTTTTGTAGGCTCTGCTTCAAAATGAATCCCAAATCCAATACTTTGTACCTCCTCCACCTTTAAAATTCTAGTCAAGTTACCATCCAGATCAGCACTGTCAAATAGAAATATAATGGGAACCACATTTGTAATGTAAAATTTATAGTTGCTACATTAAAAAAAAATAGAAACAAGTGAAATTAATCATGTTATTTAACCCAATATATCTAAAATAGTATTTTAACATGTAATAAATGTAAAAAATTCTTTTACTTTTCTTCCACTCCTGCTAAAAATCTTCAAAGTCTGGTGCGTATTTTACACTTAAAGCACATCTCAGTTCAGATGAGCCACATTTCAAATGGTCAATAGTCAGATGGGACTAGAGGCTAGAATATTGGACAGCTGCTGATCTCGAATTTTGTGTACCTTTTAAAATTTGATCTTATTTCTACCCCTGCCTCAGTCAATTCTCAGCGTTGTAGTCAGAGAGATTTTTTAAACATATAAATCAGATCATTTATTCCTCTGCCTAAAGCCCTCCAGTGGCTTCTATTATAAGCAGAACAAGAATGAATTTTTTTATAGTAGTCTATAAGACTATATGATCTGGCTCCTGCCTTTCTCTAACATATCTTACTAATCTCTGTCTTGCTCATTTTAGCCTCAGTGGCCTTTTTGTTCATCCTTGAACAAACAAAATTCTGCCTAAGATTTTTTGATTTATTTTCTTCTCTTTGCCTATTATGTTTTTCCCCAGATAGTCACATGACTTGATTCCTTATTCAGACATATATCTGCTTACAGGACATTCTTGTCACCCTAACTAAAAAGATCTGCTGCTTCCCTACTCTAGCTTTTTACCCTTCCTTGTATTTATCATTATCTGGCACTGTAATATGTAGTTATATGATCATCTTTTCTCTTTCTCATTAGAATGTAATTACTGTAAAGGGCAGGGACTTGTCTGTTTTGTTTACCACTTTATCTCCAGCATGTAGAATAGTGTACAAGCACATGGAGAGCACACAGTAAATACTTACTCAGTGAGTTAAGAAATAAGACATTGTACAGTGGTATGAATGGAATTTAGAGTCATGCAGATATGGGTGTGACTTCTGACTCCACTGTTTATTGTTTAAGTAACTTGTTTTAAGTTACCAATTTATTGGCACTCAGTTTTATTAATAAAATGTGAGATGATAATACCTGTCTTCTCTTGTGAGGGTACAGAGCGCAAAGCATTACTCGTGATTGGCACATAGTGTGAGTAAAATTCCTGGAAGATAGGCTGAAGAAAATATATACTGCTTTTTCAAAAGAAACAGGTAATATAAGTATTCTCCTATAAATTATATATATAACTATTTAAAAGGACATGGAATAAAGAAGTGATCCAAGGTTTGTATTGAACAATTTAGAGGTTATCAACCCTCTCTTATCTAGTACAGGAATCTCATCTAGAACATTCCTAACTTGTGTTTATCTGTCTTTCCTCTGCTTGGATTATTTCAGAGACAGGAAAAATGGAATTGGGGACTATGAGGGGTCTTTCCTTTCATTTTCCTACTTACCTTTGTTATTTATTTACATATTTATATTTTTTAAACAAATCATATGAATATACTTAAAGTTCACATAGTTCCATCAGGCTTAAAATTAAAAACAGAGGTCCTTCATCTTATTCCTACCAACTTTTCCCTATGCCGTTGTCTAATCTCTATTGTCAGTCACTAGTAACTCTTTTTGATCCTTCTTTTGGTATTTTACTCTTTGTTTCTAAATAGCATGTTCATGCTGCTATTTCTTGATTCTTTTTCAAGATTTAACTCTGATATCTCCTCCTTAAAAAAATACATATACTTGCATAAATCCAGAAAAAAAATATACTTGTCAGCTCTGTAAAGCTTCATATTATCAATTATTTCCTCTCTTGCACCTTCCTTGGTCCCTTTGCAACTAAATTATAAGTTAGTATAGCAGGGGAAGTTTTCTAGGCTCACTAGGCTTACTGTACAGTTGTCATCTTAGAGCCTATTCACCATTTTCCTAGAAATTCTGTTTGCATTTCTTTTGCAATGGAGTTCTTATCTCCTATATATTTTTTTCTTTCTTGGTTTACTCATTATACTGAGAGCCTTTAGTATCTTCCTGGATTAGGGTGTAGGAAAGTACCTGCACATATTATATGCTTGATAGAAGTTAGTCATTATTATTATCATTGGCTTTATTACATTACATTTACCCAATCGTTACACAACTTGAGAGAGATTGGTTTGAAAGCTTAAGGATACTGGGCTTTTGGGGTATAATTGGCTAAGAGAATGATTTTAAAAAGGAAGGTTATCAAAGTCACTAGTGGCCTTTTTTGTATTATTACTTGGGCCTTCAGTGTCCAGTGAGACCTGAATACCAAATCGTGTAGGTTGCTTATTCTACTTAGAACTGTGAAAAAATTTTAGTCTCAGGCAGCTAATATTTTTTAGGAATTTATAATTTTTAAAAAAACCTTTCACTTATCTAGAAAATCTAGCATAGGTAGAAATAATTTTAGAATGACAGAAGGAGATATACTCAGCAGATATCAGCTGACACACAGATATCATAAAATTTTACATAAATTTCCATAAATATTTGCTGACTGAATTGTTGTATTGGATCACAATAATACTCTTCTAGCTCAGTTTGAATTCTTTCTACCTTCTGAGGCATGTTTCAAGGTATGTTTCAAGGTAAGCAGTGATTTCTGATAATACGTGTTAGTAGGCATTATGCAATCTATATGTGTACATTTTCCCAGTGAATGATGTTTAAAAAAGAAAGTAAAGTTGACACAAGGACTCCTTTTAGTTTATATATAGCCATTATCTCTTTAACTCTGCACAGCAGCCTGCACAGAGCCAATACAATTATCCCTGTTTTATAGATGACAGAGCTGACATACTGTAGGGTTCAAATTTCTATCTGAAAAAACAGGAATTTAAGCATTTTTAGTGTGAGTTTTAAGAAAGTATTTGCACATTGTATTTATTTTTAGTAGTAAACTTGAGTGTACTTTAAAGGGTTTCAAGGGATAAAAAAGATTAAAAAAATTATTGTCTGAGTAGAGGGAGAATGAATGGACGTGATTGACGCAAACATTTGACAAGTGAGAAATCGTAGGGAGGACTGTATTCTGAAAGTGGCAGATCTCCTATTACTTAACACCTATTGCTTCCAATTTTTATAGTTATCAAATAATTTAGAAAAAGCTATCTAAAAGGATATGTATGTAAAAAAATATATTTTTAGTTTAATTTTTTATGTTTTACATTAAAATATGCTTTTAAAGATACTATTGAGATTTCTCTCTTTTTTTTAACGTTGTAATATTTTATTTCAAAAGAACCATTTAGCTTTCCTCTGCACATGATTTTTTTTTTTTAACATCTTTATTGGAGTATAATTGCTTTACAGTGGTGTGTTGGTTTCTGCTTTATAACAAAGTGAATCAGTTATACATATGTCCCCATATCTCTTCCCTCTTTCTCAAAGAGATTTTTTTAAAAAAAATCTTTACTAAGCTATACCTAAAGTTAGAGATTTTCACATTCAAATAAAGTCTGTCTTTTTTTCCCCCACCACATGTAGTTGTTCACTTATTCTTTTAAAGTGTTAACACAGAAGGGACTTGATCTGTTCAAATCCTCTATAGGGGTAAATGAGAATGCACAGATACATGATAGTTTTTTTTTTTTTTTGCGGTACGTGGGCCTCTCACTGTTGTGGCCTCTTCCGTTGCGGAGCACAGGCTCCGGACGCGCAGGCTCAGTGGCCATGGCTCACGGGCCCAGCCGCTCTGCAGCATGTGGGATCTTCCCGGACCGGAGCACGAACCCATGTCCCCTGCATCGGCAGGCGGACTCTCAACCACTGCGCCACCAGGGAAGCCCTACATGGTAGTTTTTAGCAATTGGGAACTGAATAACATATTTCTTATTGTGCAAAACAAGTGGAGATAATTTATATCAATTGCTTGCTTTATCAAGAAAATACTTATCACTCTATCATAGAAGAAATGCTAGTGCAGTTGTTACATTAAGATAATCAAATAAAAAACTTTCTTACTCATGGAAAAAAATTTTTTTGTTGAATATCTGAAATCACTTGAAAGTTAGGTAGTAGATTGTGTGTAATGCTACTCATGTTCCAAATTTGTACTTGATGACCACTGTTGCACTTGAGTTAAAAGATCATGGTACATCTAATTAAGCAAATGCCCGTGTGTTTTATTGACA